GCAATTACTCCTTGAGAGCATCTCTCTCTAGAATATTGAGTATTGCTGACTTGAGCGTCGGAGTGTTTTCCCCGAGGAAACAACCTCGGGATTTTCAGGTGTGGAAGCAGCTAAGGACTTCAACAGTGTTGGACTGTGAAGCTGCCCAAACATTGGCGTCGTCTGTGGGAACACGAACAAGGAGTCGTGTGGCTTTACTTGCTGAAAGATAATATGGTTCGTACTTTTACAGGAGGGCGCCCTCCCAGAAATGAAATAGACGAACAGGAGGACACTCACATATCCGAGCCCGGCTTGAATGACTTTAGGCCAATGCCCAGAAATCTTTTTGTAGGAGGAGCCGAACAGGATCACCTAAGTGAGACAGATGATGAAAGAACACCAACTGGGTATGCAACCCAGCCTGAACAGTTCCAAGTTCCAACAGGAACAAGATCAAGACCTTCCAGACCATACAATTCACAGCGTGAATGACCTGAAAGGTCGACAGAGCCTGCTCGGACAACCGAACTCGAAGAGAGAACCAGAATTCTGGAAATGGCAATGGGTAAAATCCTTGCCCGCCTGATTCTGGACGACCCCCTGATTCCTTTGTTGAACAGGGATGCACAACCAGCTACGGTTGTTGCAACTCGAAACTCCCCTGCTCTAAGCAACGTAGTGGTACCAACCAGGCCAAGGGGAAGTGGGAAGTTGAATAACGAGCCCAGCTCGTCCAAGCATAGTGAAGAATTGATGAGAAAAAACGCAGACCTTGAAAGGCAGCTGCGGGACGTACAGAAGTCCATTGACGAGCTGAAAAGTTCCAGGTCGCATCAGCAAACTCTTGATTTGGATAGCGCTCCATTGAACTTATCTATCACAGCAGAACCATATCAAGAGGGATTCAAGATTCCCCACCTGGAGACATATGATGGCTTAGGCGACCCAGATGAACATCTGCACACCTATCAAGCCATCATGAGAATCCAAAATGCTAACGATGCCATGATGTGCAAAGTGTTCCCAGCAACACTCAAGTCTACAGCCAGGAGATGGTATCACAAGCTCCCTAGACATTCAATAGATTCCTTTTCCCAGCTCATCAAGCTATTTTCTAACAAATTTGCGAGCCAAAGGGAGATCAAGCGCACAGCAACCGAGCTGATGCAAGTTAACCAGAAAGAAGGGGAGTCTTTGAGGGATTACATGCAGCGGTTCAACAAAGCCACCTTGGACATTGATAACGTCCCAGACACAATCTGCCTGTCTGCCCTGCTGCATGGGTTGAAGCGTGGCCGGTTTCTAGACGACCTGCTTGAAAACCCACCAAAGACGTGGAACGAGGTGAATGACAGGTCGGCCAGTTTTATACTGTCAGAGGATTTTCAATCGTCCAAGCGACGAGCTGATGACAAGCCGAGTAAAGGCCAGGAACAACAACCGAGAAGAGAGGAGAAGAAGAAGTAGAAGGTCAGTGAGCAATGGGGGAAGCCAGTTGAGTTCCCGAAGTATGCCAATTACATTCCTTTGACCTTACCCAGGTCCCAAATCCTGGCACAAATCCAGCACTGGGTTAGGAGACCTCCACCCCCCTTGCATGATTCCCCGAGGGCAGACAAGAGCAAGAATTGTGACTACCATCGTGTATATGGTCACAATACAGAGGATTGCCAACACTTGAAGGACGAGTTGGAGTTTTTAGCTCGTAACGGGAAGTTAGAATGGTATGTTCAGAAGCCTCACACCCAGCAACCCGCTCAAACCCATTTCGTACAGGCGTACGACCGACCTCAAGAGCAGAGGTACCAGCTCGGCGGGACGCAGGATGTATATCAGGATAACCAGTATCCTTCTGAGCAGGGCAGAGCATACCGAGGACGTCCGTTCAACAGGAGGGGACAGGGACCGAGAACTATCGCCCCGAATCAAAAAGACAGGAAATGGGTAGGTTATGCTGGAATACCCCCCCTCGGGTACAATAAACATGATATCAGGTGGTGTTCACTCCGGGGGCCAAAGCGCCCGAGGTCGCAAGGCGTATGCACGCCAGGTGATGGCAGTTAACAAAAACAGGCCTTTGAAACGCCCGTTTGAAGAAGCAGAATGGGAAAATGTACCCATCACATTCAGCCTGGCAGACTACAAACAAGCAGAAGGAGAGCCTGACGTTATGATGCCGCATGCAGATCCTTTTGTGGCGACGGTTCATATAGGCAACCATAATGTCAACAAAGTCTTCGTTGATACGGGTAGCTCGCCGGACATCCTGTATTGGAGTTGCTTTCAGAAAATGCAGCTGAATCCGAACTCACTGCAGAAACACGAAGGGCCTATATATGGGTTCGACAATCAGCCCGTTCAGGTTGAAGGAACCATTACCCTTCCCGTCTATGTGGGCTCAGAGCCACGGTTTAAGATGGCTTCTGTTACCTTCCTGGTCGTTAAGATGGAGTCAGCTTTCAACGCTATACTGGGGAGAGCTACCCTTTGCGAACTGAAGGCGGTCATCTCACAACCTCATCTCTGCATGAAATTCCCAACTCCCCAGGGGGTAGGAGTGCTTAAAGGGAACCAGAAGATGGCAAGAACATGCTACCAAGATACCTTCAAGAAGGTTGAGCTCGCTGCTGTTCCTACAGGCTCTGAAAATCACAAGCCAACCCAGCTCGCTCAGCAGACAATGAGCATTTCAGACATTGAACATCGACCTGAGGGTGTCGAGCAGAAAGCAAAGCCAGTGGAGTCGGTAGAGACGGTCCCTCTGAACCCTGCTGTGCCAGAGAGAACGGTCAAGATCGGCACCAAACTCACAGAGGAGGAACGGGCAGAGCTTATGGAGTTTTTGAGGCACAATCAAGACGTGTTTGCGTGGACTACGGACGAAATGCCGGGCATCCCCGCAGAGTTAACAGTCCACAAGCTGAGCACAGACCCCACCAGAAGGCCGGTGGTGCAAAAACGCCGCCTTTTTGGCCCCAAGAAGCAAGCTGCCATTGACGAGGAGATACAAAAGTTGTTACAAGCAGGCTTCATCAGAAGAGTGGAGTACTCTGAATGGGTGTCCAACCCTGTGCTTGTCAAAAAGCCAAATGGCAAGTGGAGGATGTGCATTGATTTCACCAACCTCAATGATGCGTGCCCAAAAGACCCTCATCCCTTGCCGAACGTAGAGAAGTTAGTAGAACGGGCAGCAGGACATGAACGGATGAGTTTTCTTGACGCAAGCTCGGGTTACCACCAGGTCCAGCTGTTGCTAGACGACCAGGAAAAAACAGCTTTTTACGTTGGTGACGCAATTTACTGCTATGTCATGATGCCGTTCGGCCTCAAAAATGCTGGAGCAACATACCAGAAGCTGGTGCAAATCATCTTTAAGCTCCAGATCGACAGAAACATAGAAGTGTATGTAGATGACATGATAGTCACCA